TCCTTCTCTTCACCATCGCCAGAAGCTCTCTCCTGAGGAGAACGGAGTCCTGTCTTGTGCCCCGCTGCACTCTGCCGCCAGCCAAGGTATCTCTGGGGTAAAACACCACAGTGCTGCCTGCGGCCAAGCAGCGAAGGTCAGAACTGGCCTAGGCACCACCTAACTGGTTATATTGGGATACATATTCCAAAAAGTCCAACTCTTTGGCATAGCCTGTGCTTCAGGGATTTCCCTGATACATATATTTCTATTAGGCCATTTTTAAAATTGAAAAAAACAAGCAAACAAGAAAAAAAAAGCCAACCAAACCAACCAACAAAAAAAATCCAAAACCAAACAAATAAACAAATAAAAAAGAAACAACAACAGTAAAAAAACCAACAACAACCACAATAAAAAACAAAAAAACCAAGAGAGTCCAGTTCCAGTGTGTTCATTAGTGGGTGGATAAACCAATTCAAAGTAGTAATGAACCATATCTGTAGAGACAGTCTCTTTATCTGCAAGACTAGCCACCATCACCTAAACTACCTTTATAACACAAAAATGTATAATTACATTCCTATTCAGTGGAATTGTAGCACTGTAGCCTCCTGCAGCTCAAAAGGTGTAACATTTGCTGTAGTTCTGCATCCATCCTTCTCTACTGTGAATTTCCTTGTAAACAAACTCATTGCCCTCTAAGGGTTTGCTGTTCCCAGTCATGAGCTGTTAGATGAGCCTGGTCTTATATTTAGACAATACACTCTCTGGAGACCCTGTAAGATGTTTCTCCAGCCTTAAACAAAATCAGGTCCTGGCCTTATACAAAGCATCATGTTATTGCTGTGATAGCAAAGTAATAATCATAATGACTACTGAATAAAATTTCATTCATGAGAATTTTTGCTGAAAGCAAACTTAATGAATACCAGCCCAAGTGAATATTCCCAGGAATGTGCTCTGAAATGCCTCTGTGGCCATTTTGAGGAGCTCTTTTTATTACTCACGTAATACATTTGGTTAGGAATTTAAAAGCTTGTCTTGTTGCAGAATCTGTTTTTAAGGTCATCCTATCCAGAAAAAACTGGATACCTGATCTGTGCCATCTAACTTGCTCTCAGGTGAGCAGGGGTTGCTAAGAGCAATGGCTTCATAAACAAAACTTGCAAAAACAACATGCATTTGTAAAAACAACTTGAATAATAGTAGGGGGGAAAAAAGCATAACATTAGAGAGAAGCAAGCTTTCTTCCACGATAATTCTACACAGTGGAAGGAGCTATACTTCAGCAAATCTTCTCTTCCTTATGCTTCACTCTGCTTCACTTTAGGCATCAGTATAGAGTGCCACATAAAAAATCATCCTCAACCCAAGCGAGAGAAAAGATTTCCAGGGTTATAACAAGTCATAACGAAACATAGTTTTTTCCGCGCCATCAGGATGGAAAAATTGCTCTGATTCCAAAACCTATCAATGGCAATAGAGACAAATACTAGCATAAACCCAAATATAATTGGATTGTTAAGTGCTAGAAATAAGGAAAAAGCATCTCATGAAAATTCACAGAGGGGAGGGGGGAGGTTCCTCCACTTCATCTGACAGCAGAAGGAAAAAAAAAAAAATTAAATGCATTTTTTTCTTAATTTAACAACAGACCAGGTACTTACAGTGCCACTGCACAAAAACATTCTTTGGTCATCACATACAGCTGCTGGCTTCCTTTCTCCATCAGGGACATTTGTTTGATTTTCCTCACAAAAAGCAGAAGCCCATAATAGCCTCCATCCTGTCCTCTGACACTTGCATAGTTATGTTACAATGGCCTCAGAAACAAATTCCTGCCACAAAAGAATGGCGTGCTAATGCGATGGACTCTTGATTTGCCCCTGTACAACAGAGAGCCCATCATTAGGCCAATGATAATTGAATGGAAAGCTAGGATTTGAACAAAACCCATGTAATTTGAATGCAGTGTGGGACAGGGCGAATGTCTAACTCGGAGGTGACACAGACATCCCCTCTGAAATATATAATAAGACAAGCTCTGCTTACAGCTTGCCCAAGATAGACACCTTGCAGTATATTTCCTGACACCAGTGTTCTGGGCCGTATCATTCCTCTCATTAGTCTCCTTAGGCATCACCTGGCCCTGCATGGAGGCGGAACGAGCGCGCGGCGCCAGGGAAGGCCAGGCCGCCAGAACCCATCTCCTTAGAGCCCCACATTTCCCTTCACAGAGAAAAGCAAGGCACAATTCTTCCCAAGAATACTCTTATCTCATTTGCTGTGCTTGTGTTGCGCAAAAGTAGAATGCAGTATGGAGACTGTTTACCCATTGTGATGGTGTTTTGTTTCCTCGGCCTGTCAGGGCCTATCGTGTGTGTGTCAGGACTGTTGGCTGACAGTCACTAGATTCTGTGCTGTTGGGTGCAAAGTTAAGTGCTTAGCAGATTCAGTTTAGATGCAATATAACATAATAAAAATAATATCATAAAGTAATTCATTAACCTTCTGATAAGATGAAGTCAGATGCATCATTTCTCTCCCCCTCGTCGGGGGTTGCCTGTGAATTCAGTACCTCCCCTCCTCATATCACAGCTCTCGAGCCTCGCAGCTGTCAGAAGGAGAGAGATGTACCACTCACACATGAGATGCAGCATGACTTTTCTCACAGGAGGCAAGGGATGGCTTCAGCTCCCTCCCTCCTGAATAGGGAGTTGTGGTTTCATGTCTGAGGCTGATGTGCCAGCTGACCTTCTGGCAAATTCACCATGCTTTGGGGATCCAGG